CGAATTTTCTGCTGCTTCTAAACGATCGATCAGCGCCAATTCGGTGCGGTGGCAAAACGTCCAAACTGTTCGCCAATTATCGGCAATGATAACTTCGAGAGCGGTACATGTGGCGCCATCTGTACGAACTCGTAGTTACTATTACCGATAATTGGCGAACAGTTTGGACCAGGTAGCGCCATCTGTACGCACTCGAAGTTACCATTACCGATAATTGGCGAACAGTTTGGACGTTTTGCCGCCGCACCGAATCGGCGCTGATCGATCGTTTAGAAGCAGCAGAAAATTCGTGCCGGATTTTACATTGTCTCTTACGAGATACGCGGCACGAATTATTTGTTCCGATTTTTGATAATTGAACACGAAATGGAAAATTCATTATAACTAGTTAATTACGGCTCAGATGTAGGAGAAACTATTACAGGGGTGTTGTTAGGGTCTCCTTCAAGTATTCCAACCGTTAAAATGATTATCAGTTCCGAATCACATCGAGAAATAAATAAATAAATCCTAATCGAAGAAAAATGACTCGATCTCAAGGGACTGCTTATCGTTCCGTTATTTTAATTACAAAATTACTTAAGGGACATTTTTCTAAAGCACTGCACTCTCCTTGTATCTTCCGCGACAATATTTATCAAATATTTATCAAATATCAATTATTATATTAACAGATGAATATCAATCTGTTATCGGATAGATTATCAAATGATTTCTCACTTACCTCGGATCGCCGCGCCTGTTCTCGCCGTACAAGATGGACAGAAAAGATACCACAGAAAAGATACAAAAACCAAAGACTCGTTTTTATTTGATTCTCGACGAAGAATGAAGGGTTCGAGTGGACCGACAAACAGAGAGGTCCATCATCGAGCGACGCGATCCGCGACGCGTCTACATGTACGTGTACGTGATTTTTAAAGCGTATGAAAATCGGAGGACAGCAACAACATCTACGATATCTTCAGATTTCGGTTTCCTCCTCTCGCTGTGTTTTTCTAAACTACTCTAAAATAAAAAGCCCACTTAATACAAATAGTCTGTTTTCCCCCCGAACTCCGTGTATGGTATTCCCCTGCACACTTGTTCGTCATTCCCGCAAACATATTATTTCTCCGCGCGACAATTCGCAGCCCCATCGCGCGCGCGCGCGCGCGTTCGTTTAATCGACTAGTCACTTTGTGGATGCACCCTATCGTTTGCTTTCTCGACTGCATCTCGGTGCATACTCCTTCCCCTTCCCCCACGTTTTGTATCGTTCGATTTTGTTTTTCCATTGGAAAATTCCCCCGTCCTCGTTTCCGTTCGACGTCCACGCTGGCACACACGCGGCTTCAGCGAATACCTCCCCCCTTCCTCCCTCTTTTGTCTCTGATTTGCGCGACGAAGCCGGCATCCCAATTGTCGACGTTCTTCAACTATCGGTATCCGATCGTCAAACCGCAGCCTCCATCACGCCCGTCGTGCAACACGGGCAAACCGATGTGGCAATGTGACCAGCCAATTAAGGGGGATGTTCAACGATACGCCTTCGCCCTTTCTGCCCAGGCGAAAAGGTCCACGCTCGGGATCGCTTCGAAGTCCGTGCAGGACCTTAGCTCGTTCCTGTTAAACAAATGCATTTGTTTAGTAGGATCTTTCGAATGTTGCTGTCGTTATTGCTATCGTTATTGCTATCGTTATTGCTATCGTTATTGCTATCGTTATTGCTATCGTTATTGCTATCTATCTCTATTGCCATCGTTATTGCTATCCATCTCTATTGCTATCTATCTCTATTGTTATCTATCTCTATTGCTATCGTTATTGCTATCTATCTCTATTGCTATCTCTATTGCTATCTATCTCTATTGCTATCTCTATTGCAATCTATCTCTATTGGTATCGTTATTGTTATCTATCTCTATTGCTCTCGTTATTGCTATCTATCTTTATTGCTATCGTTATTGCTATTTATCTCTATTGCTAACGTTATTGCTATCTATCTCTATTGCTAACGTTATTGCTATCTATCTCTATTGCTAACGTTATTGCTACCTATCTCTATTGCTAACGTTATTACTATCTCTATTGCTATCTCTATTGCTATCTATACTCAGCATGCTTGATCATTATTCGGTGATCACGCATAAAAGGTTACACCTCGTAGATTTCGATGAATTTTTAATCAGAACTTTTTCTTATTAAACTACATGTCATCGCTGAGTTTTATAACATATTTTTAAATATTACCAAAATCGATAAGGTGTAACCTTTTATGCAGAATTGACGATTACAATGTTTCACTAATTACTTACCCTGCCTGTGGTTTCAGGAAAACATTCTGTTGCATCAGTGTAACGTTGTTCCCATTGTCGCAGAATATTCTCGCCAACGTTGCATTACGTATTTCTGCCAATTGTTCTGCAAAGAGACGATGATATGTCGATTTACTCGTATTACTCTCTCATTTGAATTTCAGTTATAAGAATGCCACGCGTGAGAACCCAAAAATGTTTGCTCCAATGCAAACATTCAGGGCAGACTTTCGAAAAGCGTGCGTTTCTTACCAGGAGTGAAAGGTTGGGGTTGAAATGCAGAAACGTAGAAGTATCTGTCAGTGCGGCGAGTTCTCGCGAACTGTTCGAAGATCAGGCAGCTGAACGTAGGGCCCAACAAGCCGTCCTCTACGGGCCTTTCGAGCATCCCGCCAATGATAAGATCAACGTCGTTGGGACTTGCGTAAATTTTACGCAATTTCTTCAACATCTGTTTATAAAAGAAATTTGTGGTGTTAACGCGTGGTTCATTCAAAGAGACAGCACTCGAATAACTGTGTTATTATTTATAAAGTTTATTAGCATTATTATTATATAATATTATTATTATTATTATTATGCAATAATACTAACTAATAATGCTAATAAATATTATATAATAATAATAACAATAATATAATAATAATAATAATTATTATTATTATTATTATTTTACTTATTTATATAATAATAATATATAATATATAATAACACAATAATATAATATATTATTGTGTTATTATTATATATTATTATTATTATTATATAATATTTATTAGCATTAGTAGTTTCAGTGTGTGTAGAGAAGTCTACAATATGGCTCGCTTTTTAACACTAGAACTACCAATTGTTATAAATGCAATATAATAATATACATCAGTCGCCTCTAAGGCTCGGTTGTTCTAATGTTAAACAGTAATCTTGTTGCAAGACCTGTACTTATAACAAGAAAGCACAAGGACTATAAATTGTCCAACAAATGGTCTAAATTCGAGTCCAGTTGAATAATTCTTAACTCACTCAGGTCAACAGTTTTAAATAGAAAATTTAGAGCTGCATGAACAAACGCGTGCAAAAATATACGATTCTATTTAAAAAAAAACAATCTTACCTCCAATGGAATGTGATCTAAGAAATCGTCGAAGGTCTTCGCAGCTGGTAGTCCACAGTATTTACGATAATGATTGTAGCCGGGTAAAGCATGATCGCGACCGCGTTGAATGTCCAAGCTAACGGCGTCCAAGCCTAAGCTATCTTGGTCCCCGGCATACAATTTGCTTGTGACCTGTAAAATATATGGAAACGTTTAATTATCACTGTTGATAATAATTGGTATATTTTGTTGTCGGATATTGACAATTTCTAGACATTGCTCTATAATTAAAAAAGAACAAATGATAATATAAGTAATATAACAAAAGATCAGAAATGAGACATCTCTTAACCGGTTCGATACTAGCTAATATTTTAGTCTAGGTAATATTAAAATCTAATATTAAAATATTAAAATATCTAATCTAATATTAAAATATTATGTTAAAATATCTAATCTAATATTAAAATATTATATTAAAATATTATATTAAAATATCTAATCTAATATTAAAATATTATATTAAATTATATAATATTAAAATCTAATATTGAAATATTATATTAAATTATATAATATTTAAATCTAATATTAAAAATCGAATATAATAAATTCTATTCGTATTTTCCAGTTGGAAAGAAGCTCGAACGTTCTCCCAGAGATAGTTTTGAAGATATTAATGTACACTTACGTCCGGTATGATGTTCATGTCCATTTTCTGGCTGCTCTGAGTGACCATGCCACGAAGAAATCCGTCGAACACCTCGTCCGACTCGATTACATTCGGTTTATAGAAATACTCCGCCAACGAGAGAGTCCTGTTAGTTCGACGCGCGTTGTCCGTCAAGCTGGAAAGTTGTTTAATTATGTTAGTTATGTTGGATTTTAGTCTGATTAATCGATACGTGCGATAATAAATGCCGGAGGCGTTTACGCGAGAAACAAATTCATACAGTAAAGAATTCGGAGAAGAGAGAATTCGTAGATTCGAATGAACGTGGTTGGCATAATCGAGGTTTCGACGACAATCGAGGTGCCGCTACACAGCGAATCGAGGTGTCATCAAAGCCTACCTTAATTTCTCTTGCATCAAGGAGGTCAGAGACCGCAGGGCCGCGGTGGCGACCTCGTTGCTGACTGCTGGATCGTCCACGGAGTTGTAGTTACGATCATAATTGTTTCCAATGGCGAGGCCAACTGTTTGCGCGTACTTCTTGCCAAGTAATATAGGCAGCCACTCTTTGTAAGTGATATGCTGCATCTCGGCAATCACTATTCGCCTGGCCTCCTGGAACAGCGTCTCGTCCGACCAGTTCGGGTTCAATGCCGCAAGTTTACCAGCGATCCTGTTGTGCTCCCGGTGCCAGACGGTATGCATCACGGCCAGTTGTGGATACGCGTTTACACGATTGTCACCTGCGAAAGCGAAACGTCTAATTAATTAACGATAGGACTGTGTCATTCTACCGGTGTCGTCCTTGTCAATAGTACCAAGTGGAGGCACAGAAAATTTTCGCTAATCGATGTGTGCTCACATTGTGCACACGAAAATGGACAATTTGGAGATTATTATTATTATAACTTTGCGGCTTGTTTTTATTGTTGTTCACAATCGTTGACATTTGTTGATATTTATGCCATGTGCAAAGTGAAATACTTTATAATCAGCGAGAGCAGAATTTTCGTTTGAGGAGAAATTTCTGGGGGAGGAATTTTTGGAGGAGGAATTTCTGGGAGAGGAATTTCTGGGGAAGGAATTTCTGGGAGAGGAATTTCTATTTGGAATTTCTGGGGAAGGAATTTCTGTTTGAAATTTCTGGGGGAAGGATTTCTATTTGGAATTTCTGAGGGAGGAATTTCTGTTTGGAATTTCTGAGGGAGGAATTTCTGAAGGAGAGATTTCTGTTTTGAATTTCTGTTTGGAACTTCTGGGGGAGGAATTTCGGTTTGGAATTTCTGAGGGAGGAATTTCTGAAGGAGAGATTTCTGTTTTGAATTTCTGTTTGGAACTTCTGGGGGAGGAATTTCGGTTTGGAATTTCTGAGGGAGGAATTTCTGAAGGAGAGATTTCTGTTTTGAATTTCTGTTTGGAACTTCTGGGGGAGGAATTTCGGTTTGGAATTTCTGAGGGAGGAATTTCTGAAGGAGAGATTTCTGTTTTGAATTTCTGTTTGGAACTTCTGGGGGAGGAATTTCGGTTTGGAATTTCTGAGGGAGGAATTTCTGAAGGAGAGATTTCTGTTTTGAATTTCTGTTTGGAACTTCTGGGGGAGGAATTTCGGTTTGGAATTTCTGAGGGAGGAATTTCTGAAGGAGAGATTTCTGTTTTGAATTTCTGTTTGGAACTTCTGGGGGAGGAATTTCGGTTTGGAATTTCTGAGGGAGGAATTTCTGAAGGAGAGATTTCTGTTTTGAATTTCTGTTTGGAACTTCTGGGGGAGGAATTTCGGTTTGGAATTTCTGAGGGAGGAATTTCTGAAGGAGAGATTTCTGTTTTGAATTTCTGTTTGGAACTTCTGGGGGAGGAATTTCGGTTTGGAATTTCTGAGGGAGGAATTTCTGAAGGAGAGATTTCTGTTTTGAATTTCTGTTTGGAACTTCTGGGGGAGGAATTTCGGTTTGGAATTTCTGAGGGAGGAATTTCTGAAGGAGAGATTTCTGTTTTGAATTTCTGTTTGGAACTTCTGGGGGAGGAATTTCGGTTTGGAATTTCTGAGGGAGGAATTTCTGAAGGAGAGATTTCTGTTTTGAATTTCTGTTTGGAACTTCTGGGGGAGGAATTTCGGTTTGGAATTTCTGAGGGAGGAATTTCTGAAGGAGAGATTTCTGTTTTGAATTTCTGTTTGGAACTTCTGGGGGAGGAATTTCGGTTTGGAATTTCTGAGGGAGGAATTTCTGAAGGAGAGATTTCTGTTTTGAATTTCTGTTTGGAACTTCTGGGGGAGGAATTTCGGTTTGGAATTTCTGAGGGAGGAATTTCTGAAGGAGAGATTTCTGTTTTGAATTTCTGTTTGGAATTTCTGGGGGAGGAATTTCGGTTTGGAATTTCTGGGAGAGGAATTTCTGGGAGAGGAATTTCTGGGAGAGGAATTTCTGGGCGAGGAATTTCTGGGAGAGGAATTTCTGCTTGGAATTTCTGGGGGAGGAATTTCTGGGAGAGGAATTTCTGCTTGGAATTTCTGGGGGAGGAATTTCTGTTTGGAAAGTGAGCTGTAAAAATGGGTCATCGCATTATCAAGATCCGCAGTCTAACAATAACAGATGGAATAAGGATAAAGGTGAATTTACGAAATTATTAAAAACCATTGTAGCAAAGTATTAGAGAGGGGGGGAGGGAGAGAAAGTTGTATTATTACCAGAATCATAACAGCCTCCTCTGCAAACAGATCCGATTTCCGAGCCGCCGACAGGTAAAAATTCGCGATTGTTGTTACTGTGAACGCGCAAGCGACCGCCTTCGAAGGCACGGAGTTCGCGTGACTTGCTCACCGTCGAACCGTAGATCATCGAGCCGTCCAAGAAGTGACTGGCCTGGTTCATCTGTAAATTGAACATAGAACATCTCCTTAATTATCTGCTTCTAAAGTGAAGTACATTTTATTGACATAAAAATAGCGCCCATAAGATCTACCATGTTTCATCGACATTTTATACTTTGATATTTATTAAAATTGATATTTATTTTACCATACAACATTGATATTTATTTTAAACTTTGATATTTCACTTTTACGAGTCCTTCAACCTTTCTACGTACAATAATTTCTCCCGGAAATGCCAAATTTCGGGTTGCTGTTAATTTCCCCGAGCTAGTCCTACGCCTGTGTAATATATTGCCACGTCGATGCTACTTTTTGCGCAGTTATATTTATCGTACTCGTCAGAGGGGATCTATAAATTCTCTAGATATCTCTAATTATATAATTGGAGATAATTATAAATTTCGCGATAAAAAGTCGCGACAAAAGTAGCGATCGTCGCGCGTGTGTGACGCTTGTAGCGAACGTGTTAATATGTATAATTGTGGGAGATCTAATTACATAATTGAATTCTGTAAACGAACGTTACGAAAGTTACCTGTTCCACGGGTCCGAACGTGCACTCTGATCGGAGCACGGGCAACGATCGCACGTAGTTTATACACCGAATGTAATGTTTCCCGTAAACGGGATCCTGATCGGGTACGGTGATCGCAGCACAATCCGGGTGAACGTGTCTTGGAGACAAGGTGTTCCCGTCCGATCGGCAGCAAGAAATTGGTTTTCCCGATGACACTGAAAATCACGGCGAAACGAACTAATTAATATCCGTCAGTACGATGGAAACATTAATCATTAGTAGACTGTGGTTTTTATACAGGGTGTCCCAGGTTTTAATGTTCAAACTTCGTCAGTATATTCTATGGCACGAAGTAAGAAAAAAATGTTATGTAAACATAGGTCATACAGAGCTTTATTAAGAAGTTATAACAAAAATTCAAAATAGGAATAATAATCAACTAAAAAAAAAAATAAAAAATAAAAAGAAATCTTCGATCGATGTCAATCATGTATTGTCAACAACGGTTATTAATACATTACGAAATGTAATATTAATTACTATTCCTATGAATAATTACTATCCCTATTCTGAATTTTTGTTATAACTTCTTAACAAAGCTCTGTATGGCCTATGTTTACATAACATTCTTTTCTTACTTTGTGCCATAGAATACACTAACAAAGTTTCAACATTAAAACCTGGGACACCCTGTATACAGTAAATTCTCTTAGACTTTTAACAATGTTTTAAATCTAAACTTTGACGATGTAAAAATTATCTTGGAACGTGATGTAACAATTTTTGCGGTGTCTCAGGGTCGAGTGCAAAGGGTTAACAAGACGTTAACAAGACGTTCCAAAATAATTCAAACGAAGAGATTTTTATCGCAGTTTTTTCTCCAGAATCAAAGCCGAGTACACTTACCCATCTTGCGCACCGGCGTGTAGGAAATGTCATTCGCGACGAACTGGCCCCATTGCATGGCCATCAACGTTCTACTGACATCCGAACGATCGTCGGTACCCGATAGAGCCACGGTCACGCTCCTGGCTCCTGGCAGCGGTTTTCTCGCTTGTCCCATGTGCCTCGGCTCTTGAATTCCTGGTCGGCGAACGAAGCATTAGAAACTGTTGCACCGAACGATTCTACATCGTCGAATCGGAGTAAATCTCTACTATATTCGAGAACGAGGATGCGATCATCCGCGAGCCATCGTTCGGACCCGTTTGCGAAAGCGAATCGAATATAATTCGATTCCGAATAAAAATTCGGGAACGAACACGAGTCGGAGAAATTTTGAATCGCGATATTCTTCGTTCCGATTGCTCCGATTACGACGAATTCATCTGTGTATATGTGTGTGTGAGCGTGTAAACGTGTCTATTAGGGTGGTCCTTAGTTATACAGGGGTGAAGAATTTTATGTTTCGAGATCTTTTTGATCTTGCACACCCCAATTTTACGCATATTCGACGGAAATGCGATTTATGCGAACATCGAAAGCAATTGGAGAACGGAAGTTTGTGCCGCGTTTCCGTTAAAGTTAAGAAATCTTTCATTTTAACGTTTGAAAATATAAAGTTCTCTGTCTGTTATATGATATCGACAGTATGGCAAAATAATAATGGAGTAAAGATTTTGTATACACTTCTAGAAGTAATGTATGAATTATTATTCCTTCGAGGCATTGTCTTTAAGTTGGATATTTCGAAAGCAACGAAAAACAGCTGCGTTTGAAAACTACGGGAAATAATTACAGTTCATTCTTCCTAATTGACGCTCAGATTTTATACAAATTGGACAATTTGGGAAGAGCAGATACGATTATTAGAGCCTCGCGGCTCGTTTTATAGTCGTCAACGATTATAAAGTCAACAATATAGTCAACAATTGTCAACAATACAAAGTATACACAATATAAAGTCAACAATATAGTCAACGATTATAAAAACAAGCTACGAGGCTCGAATAATCGTATCTCGCCTCCCCAGATTGTCCACTTTTGTCTCCAAACTGAGCATCAATTAGGGAAACTTTTAACGGAGACTTTAAGGGAGACTTCTTGCACATTTTTCCTTTTCCCGATCACTTTCAACTACCGCCGTGTGCATCGTATTCTCGCCGAGCGGCATGATTTCACGGTGTAAGATTAGAAAAAAATCGAGTAACAAGGACCACCGCTTAGTTTCCGTGCAGCGCGAGAGCGAGCGTCGATTCGCGCCGACTCTGATCGCGAATCTCGGGGACGTTGACGTAATCGGGCCCCCTTGACGGGGACCTACGGCGAGCGACGATCAATCCTAGCTCCGCCTAAAAAGCAATCGGCGCATCGGAGACCGATCTCGCGAACCGACAACGAAGTCAACGGAGTCGAATACTAATCGCGGAGCTAACGGTGTGTCCTTCCCGGGCCCAGGATCGAACGGCGAACGGTGGCCCTCGCGCTGCACCGCAGAAAACTATATATACACATATATATACTCTGTTCTATAATAAATAGAGTTCGAGATGGTTTGTTCTGATGCGTTGTCGACGAGCGAACGCGCCGAGAACGCCGTCGCGAGAACGGCGGTTCTCGCGAGATAAACATTCGGCAACTAATTTCATGATGGTTTGAAATACGGTTCGCGTCGAGAACGCTCGCAGAAGGATCAAGTGACTTATCTAGGTGGCTGATGAAGGCGGCCGAGCCGGAGAATCGAACCGGGAGGACATAGTCGGAGCATCTTTTTGTCTTCGGGGCATCGTTTTCTTACCGTGAAGTAATGAGTAATAATAATTATATGACTTATAAATGGATTGATTTGAAGCGCAGAGATGTGAACGCGATCTACAAAAGGATTAATTTTCAGTGGAAAACCTGTACAATCGATCGCGGCTCTTGAAACGATTCTGAAGAGCCTTCATTCTCGTTAATTATTACGAAGGATTTTCTGTGAAAAATCGTACGTTACGGTTCGACATGGAATCGAAACGAAAACGAAGACAGCAAAGTTTCATAGCAATCGCCCGAAAACAGAATGATTTTCTCCTTGTTTCGCGGCTCGAAGGAAGCAAGGTGGCTCCCCCGGTTCCTCGATTCATCCGGCTCGGACACCTTTAACGAGACCCGTATACCGCAATATCAACAGAAAATATCTCAACTAGTGTTACAATAATAAATATGATACATTATTAGGTATATCCGAATTAGTTTACATACACATTCTACTGCTGGATAGAATCTCCCGACCGGGGCACCCTATTGTAGGCAGTATTATTCACTGCTATACTCAGGCATTTTATGCTCTACGTGCCTTATCGCACAACAACTGTAATGCAAATCACAGAATACATTTTGTTAAGCCAATCGACGAAACGAGACTTTCGTTTAATCCGTTAGCGCCCAGGGATCAGTGTGTGTGTGTGTGCTTTTGTATGTTTGTATGTGTGTGTATGTTCGTTCGCAAATTTGCTTTGTTCTTTCGCGTTTTGCTTTTCCTCTGTTTCGCGTTGATTTCCTGTGTATGTGTGACGTTTGTATGCGCATGTGTGTACACATGTGTGTGTGTATTTGTGAGTAATTCAAATGATTCCAAAGGTGTCGAGATGTGAGCGGATTAGGTGGGTCAGTGGGTCGAGGTTTGTCGCCGGTGTGCAAGCGCACGCAGACGCGAGTTTTCACGAACGAGGCAATTAAATCTTTAAGCATTCGTCGACGAAGGCGACGTTAGGCTGTCGCCGTGTCTTACGAAGATGTGTGTAAGTTCGGCGAAGGGAACGATTCCTGAACTGACTAGCAAATCATCGAGACCAGTAAATCCTGCGATTTAGGGCACTTGTCCCTTCGTTACGAACGTGGCGAGAGAATTGTGCAATTGTCGTTTCGATGCAATGTGCAAGGTGTTCCGCGGAGCAACGTACAATTCTGAGTAGGACAAATGAATTAGTTTAGCTTTAATAGTTGATAGTTTTACTTTTAGTTGTTTTTAATTTTAATAGTGAATAGTTTTATTTCTAATAGTTGATAGTTCTACTTTTAATAGCTAATAGTTCTACTTTTAATAGTTGATAGTTCTACTTTTAATAGTTAATAGTTTTCCTTGTAATAGTTAACAGTTTTACTTTTAATAGTTAATAGTTCTTTTAGTTGTGCTTTAATAGTTGCTCCAACAATTTATTATAATTTCAGTTGCGCTTTAACAGTTGCTCCAACGATTCATTATGATCTCTGTGCCATCTGTTCGTCGTTAAGGATAAGATACTACGAAACTATGATTACAATGCTTCGAGCAGAAGGGTTCGATTAGGATATCAAACAGACCTCGGTTATAGGTCTTCAGTGTCCGCAGACCGAGCGCTAATCCAGCTCTCTAATTGCAAGAAATCGGGACACCTTGCACACGCAGCAAAGTACAACAATGGTCCTTTATCGACCGTTGAAACCTCGTAAAAAACCTCAAAAATATATATACCACCACATAAATATATATATATATATATATCACCACAGAATCAAACAATTTTTGAACAAGTGCAAAAATATCCTTCAAGCAGCGCGACCTGTTTCAGACAGAAATCGAAAAATCGTTGCACAATTTTGGGCCGATCTCTTCGCGATATCATCAAACAAGTAAACTATATACAGATAGTTTGAACATTGAACATTGTTCAATAGTTAGTTGAACATTGAGTTACCAGAGAATCGGCTCATTTGTTCGATAAAAGAATCGAAAAAGAATTTATAAAATTTAATAACTAATTTTACAGCCGGAAAATATGCAGCAATAATATTGAAAAAGTTCTTTAAAAGATCGATTCCTCAGATGATTTTTAGTAACTTTCTCCTCAGCGAAAATGTTCTCCGTGGCTTCGTTGACGAGTTATCGACGAAAAACGCGGGCCAATCGGAGCGCAAGTCGGTGCATTCTGGCGCTACAGATCGTGCGACGCGCATTGACCGCGTAGGCGGGGCGCGCCGGCACTCGCTCTCCGATTGGCCAGTGTTTTTCGTCGATAACTCGTTAACGGCGCCACTTACGAAATTTTCGCTGAGGAAAAAGTTGCTTCGAATCGCCTCAGGAATCGCTTGCTTCAAGGGCTCGCAACGCAAGCGTATTCCGACTTCTGTCCAGAATCCTTCGATTCACAGTGCATCGGCCGAAGATCGAGCCAGGTCGTCGACCTTGACGAAACAAGAAAAAGAGAGAGAGAACAGAGAGAAACGAATGATCCGGACGGACGAACAGGAAATCGGGAGAGGGAAGCGCCAAGCGTTTCGTGGGCTGCAAATATAATTGTATCGATTATTATTCCACACAAATAAGGATGCACAGTGCGCGCGGTTAGGTTGATGAATCTCGAAACTGTCTGTGACTTCTGGACGGAAGGTTAGGCGACCGCGAGACCCGGATAACTTCGTCGGCGACACCGATCGCGGGTGACTCGGATGCGATCGCAGCGTGCCTGGGGATCCGAGACGATCCATCGAGCGTCGAACGATCGACGAATAGATCAATGGACGATCGCGCGAACACGGGACGAACACGGGAGGACTATAGATCGAGCTGAATCCACGGTAAGTCGAGTTTCTTACCGTCGAAGTACTGGGGGAAGAGGATTCTGTTGTACGCGGTCATCGCGCTACCCCAGCTCGGGTTCTCGATATTGTTGCAACTGCCGTCGATGCTTCGATACTTGTCCTCGGAGTCGCAGTCCATCACCCGCGTGGTCGAACAGGCGGAGCTCAGCTGGGTGCCGTGCAGAGGCAGCGTGGATATGAACCTGGCGCAATCGTTCTTCTCCAAACCGAACCTGCAAGAGACACGCCAGCATTTGTATTTCGTTCGATCGACGAACAGTTGTCCACCGTTCGGAGTCGGGTATGAGCTGGATTTGCTGGATTGTTGCTGGAGTTTGCGAGGATTGTTAAAACCTATCGGAGGATTGGTTAGAAGACTTCGAGCGTTTCGTGCCGGGGAATGAACCGCATTCTTTTTCGCTACGTTTCGACGCCTCGGCGTTCGGATAATAGAACGCTTATTTTGTTACGATGCTAGGTTCAAGCTTTGATTGTGTGTGGATGCAAATATGGGGCGAGGCACAGGAACCGAGTGGTTTTTAAATGTCTCGCAATCCGGAAATGGGTTCCCGAGGTGATTTGGAGCAACTTTTTCCTTTGCAACAATTTTCTACGCGGCTTCGTTCGCGAGTTATTAAGGAAAAACAGTGGTCAATTGGAGAGCGAGCGCGGTCGGCGCTCCGCCCTTGCGGTCAACGCCCCGGCGTATTGGTCGTCTGACGCAGCGGAAGTGGTCGCGTGGGCGGGGCGTCGGCCGTACGCGATCTCTCGTTAGTCACTGTTTTTCGTTAATAACTCGTAAACGAAGCCTCGTAGAACATTTTTGCAAAGGAAAAAGTTGCTTCAAATCACCTCAGGAATTCCTCATTCATGTACAATAATTTTTGGACGAGGTTCCGTTTTACGAATGTATATGCAGGTATTAGAGAACAATTTATATATAAGCAACTTATATTTATATATAAACACCCCTTAGTTTATTGTTCGTTGTTTCCCAACGCGTACGATTAAAATATAGACAGAGCTTGATGTGAAGAGAGGAACACGTTAATGATTGTGAGTATAATTAATGAAAAAACAATTATAGGTCGATACCCACGATAAGCTATATATAATATATAATATATAATATATAATACTAGAATATAATATATAATATATAATATATAATATATGATATATAATACTCACTATAAAGAAAATTAAACGAACGAGCACAGTAATAGTTGCAATTTCTGCTGCAATTTTTGGGAAAAAATTTCCCAAATCTTCCCAACTGTCTAAAATAGGAAGACCGACTAAAAACCCCATTGTTAACCCTGCGGTGGCCGCGTAGGGGTCACGTGTCACCCGGTCCGTAATTTATTATCATCGTTCCTGCAATTCCTTATCATCGTCCCTTATCTTTCTAGTACACGTTCGTCACTGTCTCCGTCGATGGTATCCTTCATTTGCATATCACGGATACCAGATCTTTGTCACGAGTCGTGATATGCAACGAGTTCATTCGAATCCTTGACTGGTACGACGATTCTCGCGTGTAAACGATCGACGCATCGGTATCGGCCACAAAATTAAAATACAATTCTAAGCGAACGTCGAATCGTAATTGATTCGAGAATTGGTCAAAGCTAGCCGACAAAGGGATCGAACGGAGATAGATACGACGTTCGGGTCACTCGTGACCCCAGCGTACCAGTCAAGGGTTAAGCGCGCTTCGAAATTTCGAGAATGGGACGACAGTTGCGAGTAGAAAGGCCAGCTTTCGCATAAGAACACTGCAGTACCAAATATTAATAACGAATATAATAGCTAGCATGCATCGTTCTTGTGTCCAGTATGTGGAAACCAGGCTTCCCATTGGCCCACCTACGGTGTTCTCGAGAACTAATATTAAAATGGTGTTCGGCTCGCACAGATTCGACTAAAAAACTGCGAGGATATTTACGGCAGCTGCGATTTATTATTATATTATTATTATATTATTATATTAATTTATTTTATTATACAACAGCTAATGAAGAGAAAAAAATAGAACACGCTAAATCTCCGCTTCGACTTCGAGATAAACCGGTGACTGAAAAATTTACAGAAGCCTAACGTTCCGAGTCAAACACCGTAGGAGGGTTAATTAACCCTTTCACAGGCACCGTACGCGAATTTTCAAGATGGCGGCACACTTCAACGATCACAAATATTTGGGCCCGGTGTCCCTGTGCGCGTTAAAATTGGGTCCCAAGGTTCCCAGTGCCCACGAAAGGGTCCCGGAGTCGATACTCGAAACTTCGAAGCGACTCAAAATGGCCGATCTCCTCGGCCAGGGTGCAAAGAACGAGGCGCGCCGTCTTCCACGCTGAAAAGCGGCAAAGAGAAGCGCTATTTCGGTTAGGTGAAACATGCCCCGGGCGCGTCCGACGACAGGAGTACGGTAATGTCTCCCTTACTGACGCTCAGATTGTCCACAGAAATGGACAACTGCAGAGAATTTATTCGAGCCTTTCGGTCCGTTTTTATAGTTATGAATTGTCAACGATTATAAAAACGAGCCGCGAGGCTCGGACAATCGCGTTTGCTCTTCCCTAAATTGTCCATTTTCGTGGACAATCCGTGCGTCAGTAAGGGAGACATTACCGTAGACATCACCCTAGACGCAGGCGATTAAGGAGGACTATGAGAGAGAATTGTGACTGGTACCTTCGGCCCTGGGAGGCGTTATTACCTGCGACAGCTCTGGTGAAGGAGATAGGACGAAGCTTTCATGGCCACAATGGCATCGAGGCCTCTCTCGAAAGCATCCTCGGAAGGATAAGAATCAAGGAATTGCTTTTCCGCCGGCGTGTGTGCCTGCAACTCGACGCCAGCGTTCACGATATTCCTTTCGAGGGTGCTCATACGATCGACCAAGCTTTGCGCGAAACTGATTGAGTTGTTCAAGACCACATCGTCAATGTGAGGGAAACGTCGTTTTTGGAAATGACCGGTGTCGACGACGACCTCGTAAGGGTAGTTCGACATCGGCAAACCTGAAAGGATACCTTTAAAAACTTCGGTGAAATGCTTTCGGTAATAACGACGGGGGGGGTTTCCGCGGTCGGAACACGCGGCGCCGTGCCGTTCCCGGTACGGTCTCGGCCCGAGGAAACATTCTTTCGCGCGCGCGCGTTCGTTCGTTAGCGTTTCGAGAAATAATTGGTGTTTCGTGTATATCGGCGTTTCAGTGCGCGTTGTTCCGCGTTCCGCGACAGTCGCGGTCCAGCTTCGAGCAAACCGAAAACATATTTGACCGAAGCGAGCCGGGACCGGTGTGACGCGGTGTGCAAAGTCTTTCGTTCCAGCTCCAATTGACGCTTGGATTGTACAGTAAATTCTCTGCAAAGTAATATATTGGCTTGATTTTTTATTAAAAGCAAACGCTTTTAATCTGTCCGCTGTTTTAAATAACATTTGCGGTAAATTCTCCACAATTGACGCTCAGATTGTGAACAATCTGGACCAAAATGGACAATTTGGCGAGAGGAGACACGATTATTCGAGCCCTGGCGACTCGTTTTTCTAGCTGTTGACGATCGGTAACTATAAAAACGGACCTGAATACTCGAATGATCGTATTTTCCCAAATTGTCCATTTTTCTGCGCAATCTGAGCGTCAATTAGCTGCTAGCAAGCGATCTAAGCTAATTCTGAAGCGCGCAAAGGGTTCGAAAACTGTGCTATACTGTTTTTACCTGCGTCTAGAAATAGCAAATGTCCCGACACGAACAGGAGTGTGCATAGAAGATATTAAAAAGCGCAACAAACGATCATCGAATTGAGCTCGGATCGATATCAAACGAGAATGAATTTTCTCAGCGAAGAAAACAATAATAAACGATAAAACGTCGACAATGGACGCGCTTACCTGTGTAACTGGCAAGGTAGTTCTGCAACGAGGCCGGCAGCTTGTAGGCGCCGATCGAGTGAGAATTGCCGAGGAACCCCATGGTCTGCAGGGAGATCCATAGAATCGTCAGAGTAGCCACGGAACCCGCCATTAGGCCGCCGGCTGCTCGAGAACAAAAAGAGAAGAAATGCAAACGTTACTCGCTTGTCGATCATGGGAATTCATTCTCGTCGCGATTACTCGGCGCGCGCGTTCCGCCGCGCCGTTTCGATTGGCCGATTGCGAAATCGAACGAGGAAAATTCGATCGAAAGCAAAAACGAACAACGAACGTATTGTACTCCCTTTTAACCTTTGCTCGCCGGTTCTCCGACCGTTTCTTCCGATTTTTTCCGACGTCCGTCGAGCGATTAACGCCGCCGACGGTCGTCTTCGATGTGACTCAAAGTTGGGCGAGAACGTTATACTTATGGAGAACCGTACGACCAATGGGGGGAAAAAATGTACGCGATCATGTGAGTCACCGTGGCGACTAATCGCCGCCCGTGTGCCGATTTTGACGAGGTGAAAATTTTTCCGTCAGCGTGGCGTTGCACTCCGATAGCGTTTTCGACGGAGATACGGGAAATAGGTAATCGCCGTTGTTCGTGCATCGTAACGGTCTGTCTGCGGTCTACGAGAGCTATTTTTATGCTTTTAGCTCAAGGCTGGGTGTTTACAATGAGTACGATTTTTTTTTCGAATTAATTGCCATTTTTTTGGCGCTGATTCTGAGTGCAGTTCGACGCGATTTAATTGCATTCCGATGGAACCTTCACTGAGCTGTGGAAATTTCTCTTTAGTTTGCTGAATAATTTTTTTCTTAGATGATAAACTTAGAGGAAAAAGAGAATTTAACTTGAAGTAATTCAATTATCAATCTTTGAGTTTGAAAAAAAGAAGCTGTTAATCAACCATCAGCGTCTAAACTGTTTAATATAATCGTACATTTGTGAAATGTACGAATATGCGACGTTATAAAACTATTGTTATGAGAGAGTGAAATGTCGTTGGTCGACTGTTTGATTACTCTTTGACCGACGTAATGCATACTATGATCTTTATCGCACATGTCTACTGCAACACGTGAAACTTGTGTCTGCTGCACGGCTATCGTCAATATCTCTTATCTGTCATATCAATATGTGTGTCATTGGATTCGTAACATCAACAAACAGTCGCAACAACTGTCACATATTTTCGTACATTTCAAACTGCAGCAATTTCCCCCGGAAATGCCGAATTTCGGGTCGCTTTTGATTTCCCTGTGCTGGTCCTGCGCCTATGTAATTCATTGCCGCGTCGATGCTAAGATTATTTAAACAACGTGAATAATTAATTACATGCAACGTACTATCACATAATTATTTACCAGCGTATTTTACAATTGAAAATATTATGTTAGGAGCGAATAGAAAAATAATAAGACGACTTAGTATTCTCGGATCTGCCGGTTTCAATTCCGCTCTCCGTACATTTCCGGGAGAAATTACTATAAATATGAATACTATACGAATCGCTGTATATTATATAAATTACTATAAATATAAATACTATGCAAATCACTGTATATTATATAAATTCCTATAAATATAAATACACCGCGAGCATCACGATTCTTATGGCAAACTTTAATGCTTTAAGATGTTAATAAGGGTTCCGATAACCGAGGTTCCACTGCACCGCAAAATGCACAATGCTCACAGAATACTCACAAAATATCGCAAAAGGATGTCCCGACTGCGTCGAATCTCGCGATCGACAGTTTCAACAACCCGAAAAAACGGAGCAATTCCGAGACAAAGCTCGCGGGCCGCGAACGATATTTACGATTGAGAACCCGACTGAAACGCGACAACTGCGTTTCATCTCCGTTCTATCGACGTTACGGAATGAAGCATCCGCGGGACGGTCGCTATCAAAAGAGCACTCTTTTATCCGCGATAGGAGCGGATGCGCGCGTTCGAAGCCCGGCCAGATAACTGCGTTTGTTCTTCCTCGAGCGTGTTCCGTTTCGCGCGATCTCCAGCTGATGTCGTCGCATTGTTGTTTACGGTTCTGCGTGCCGAACCCCTCCCAGATTCCGATTTCGCGTCCCGATCGAAATTTCCGCGCACGATCCGCCGCGCGGCAGATTTATAGCCTATTTATTCCCGTGAAAAATCCCGTCGCAATGTGATCACGATTCGCGCACGTGACGCGTGACGGTGTTTCACCGATTCGATAGTGAAACGTTGGAAGAGTGGACGCGAACAGATTAGAATCTCCGGCTCGCGTTTCGCCTCGCGAAAGAGGAAAAATCGATAATAATATTTACCGCGAACATTAGAATCGCGTCCGCGAATTTCGCGTGATTTTCATGCGGAAACGAAGCGAGCTCGCTGCTCGCACATTTTTCCGCGAGATCGTGCGCAGAAGTTACGCGGACGATTCCGCGAAGTTCGTTGCAAAATTAGGCGAATAACGCGCGGCGGAATTTTGCTTTTCCGAAATAAAGGGAAGCGGAAATTTTTCATGGTACTTTATTCGGTATTTTATTCGCATGTGCGATCATCGGCGAATACTTTTGTCAGGGAATGTAGCTTGTACTTGGCTTCGAGCTTTTTTAAGAATATTTTCTACGAGAATTCAAACGTCGCGTTGTGTAATTATAAGCGTTAATGTACGCAAAGAGCGTGGAAGTATAGCGAACCAGAAAAAGATCACAAATGCTATCCGATAGAGGACGCAATTAAACTTTTAATTAATTTGTGAACAAAGAGTTGTCGACTCAAGACTACGTTAAGTTTCTTCGATTAATAATTATTCGAGCTTATGAATGCAACGATGATTTTCATTGTTGAACACTTCGACTTCGAGCCTGCGTTTCGAGTGAAGTAAATTGTTGCAAACTTTGAACGATTTTGACAAGAAAGAAGTCGTTTAGAAGATGTGCTTCAAGTCGATGATGCATACTGTCTGAAATCATTTTGACTGTCTGTTAATAATTACTGTCTGAATTTTGTTATATTTTCACACAATATTCCCCTTGGTATTTGTCAAAAATCTCCGAAATTTCGATTAGTTTTCACTGTTCGATATATGTAGAGCATTAAAAAAGCAGCAAACGTCAACAGAAGACGCGAAGAAGATTCGCGCGAGAGACAATTGCAAATAAAGTTCCGCGACGACGGCATTTATTAAATTGCTGCAGCCGGTGTATGTGCATCCCAGCAGGAAATGGCACACGATCTTAATCGTCTAATCTACGTCATTTAACTTTTATTAGTGACGAGCGACGATTGTATTTGTCCATTGCGAAATGATCTCGGCTAATCAGTGATTGCATGACTTATTTCGCTGGCTTTTTTCCTCGCGTATCTACGCGGACGCGCCGATGAGGGGATTTCAATCGCGTTACGACGTTTCGGAGGAAATATTGGGTAATAAACATTCAATTTCCAATTGGAAATCGTTGCCTAATCGGGAAGAGTATTCGCCGATTGCGAGTACAGACGACCTGCGAGAATTTACCGTAATTAAATGAACAACCATAATCGATCCCTTCAAATATTTTTCGTATTTCATGCTAAACGTATCGAGATTGTGAACCGAATTGTTACAAGGCTCCGAAGACAATGTTTATCTTGCAAAATCCGAAAGTATTAACAGGCCTCGCTCGAATCTTATTCTTATTCTTAGAAGAAGACATCAGACTTCGCCTAAAGATAGAATATATCCAGTATGTTTTCGCATAAATTTAGTAATCACGTTCGGAGACCGTGCATCGAGAATTTACGTTCGGTTTATTTTTTTTTCTTTTCTTTTTTTTGCTTTCCTTCTGAAAGCTTTGCATTTACAACTGATGCTTTCAGATATGCGAACAACGTTAAAAATAATGCGCGTCGTGTCTACCGACATTCGGACGAAGCGGAATAAGCTACACGATATCGAATACCGTGTTTTTTTTGTGTGTTCCGAAAACTTCGTAAACATTTATTTATAGAATTGCATAAATCGCCTGCGACAAATAAATCGCGAGCATCGATAAAAACGACGAATCGAATCGCTCGGCGAACGAGCAATAAAATGGCAGATAAAATGGAGTTCCAAATCGCGGATCGACAATTTCAAGGTACAGCTCCGATTAATAATAACAAAGCTTCGAATTAACAAAAAAAAAATTGAATTTTCAAACGCGTTACACTGTTTCGATTTTGCAAGCTGCGCTTACGCTTCTACATAGATCGTGCCGCGACTTCGGCCAACTTTTATATCGGAGAGCACACGCCTGAAAAGACTGTTACCGCATAAATAAATCGATAAATAAGTCGCGTTTCAAGGCAGTGATTCATCGCAGGTTTCACATCCTGCACACTCGACACGCCTTCGCAAGTGCGAAAATAGAGTCCACAACTGTCTAATCCGCGACGGATTAAAATCGAAACACCCCGGCGCGGTCGATACAGCCATCGAGATATAGCAAAGTAATCGAGCTGTAGTATTGCCATTATGTACTCCTTCTTCTCGCGTTATAAGCTAAATACTGAAAAAAAGGACGTGTAAGCTCTTCGACCGAACGCGAATCTTAACGAAGGCTTCGAAAATAATTTACAAACGTGTGAATCGCTTTTGCAGTGCTTCGCATATTTTTTACTGAATTTCTTGCTTTATTTCGGCAACAGTTTAATTGCAGGAAATTTTATCACAGCACGCTGCTTCTCGGTTCTTCGAACACGTTACGTATTTCATCGACACGAATAATATCATTTGCTAATCGATATTAACAATATATTATTATTTTCATTTTCTAAAATACGCGAAATTAATTCTTACAATTTATCCTTAATAAAACAATTAAGATAAATAATCATTAATTCTTACTAAAAAAAGAATAAGAAAATTGTTGGAAACTGCAGCCGCTTGAAGATCGCGAAGATAAGACCAAAAATATTCCTTCCTCGGAGCAAACACTATAAAAATTATTCTTTTGCAAACAGCGTTGAAATATTAATGAGAAAGCCACCGTAAATCTCAATTTAAGTACGAGCAAAAAACATCCGATACAAACAGGCGATTGAATTGCAAAATAACCTCTGACCTCTCCAGAATATTTACGAGAAGAAGAAAAACAATGTCATGGCCGGCTGAATGCAGTTACGTTAATTCGCTGTGCGAAGTCGAGGCACGGTGCAGTCGTTAGCTACTCTGAATTGCATGTTACGAGAAAAGCACACACGTCGCTTGAATCTGTCATTGCTGCGCTGCCGTTGACATAAGCTTCGCGCTCCGGGCGCGTAGGGCCTTGATTGTGTAATTGTTCCGTGCAGAAATAGGCGACGCAACGATTTCTCTATTAAATGTAATCAGAAGCGTCGTCTAGAATTACTTGCCATTGTTCGGGCCATATTCTCCAAGGCTTCGCCGTGTAGCGAGTGCCTTTCCGTCTAGTTCACGTTTCTCGAATTACGGTTTCCCTTATTTGGCGTCCAATGTTCCCTCTTCCGCCAGCATTTACCTCCCTACCGTCTCGTGGTACGATCGATAGCGGTCAACTTCTTATCTAACCACGTTACGTGGCCTAATCAACAATCGATACGTAACACTGTCTGCTAGCTTATACAGGGTGTTGCGTAATTATGTAAACAGCCGGAAACGGGGGGTACCTGAGGTCATTTGGAGCAACTTTTTCCTCGGCGAAAATGCGATCCGTCGCTTCGTTTACGAGTTATTAAGGAAAAACAGTGGCCAATCGGAGAACGAGCGCGGCCGATGCTCCGTCCTGCGGCCAATGCCGCGTCGTGCCGGCCGTGTGACGCTGCGGCAGTGATCGCGAGGGCGGGGCATCGGCCGTACGCGATCTCTCGTTGATCACTGTTTTTCGTTAATAACTCGTAAACGAGGCCTCGGAGAAAATTCATGTAAAGGAGAAAGTTGCTCGAAATGACCTCAGGAATCGTCCCTCTCCACGTATTGTTTAAAATAATGAAGATGTATGGTACAGATAGCGCGAGGCTAGATTATATCCTATGAAAATTAGTTCAGCCAAAGTGACACAAGTCTAACATTGTTCAATTATCGAAACAGGTTATCACGTTTTACGTTTTCAGAAAGAGAAGTACTAAATTAGGAGGAGTACCAAAATAAAAGTACAAATAAGAGTATAAAAACAGCTGTTCAAACAGAACCGCGTTGCAATTTTCGTCGATCGTGAAATAAAAAAGAGCTGACTTAGTAGACCGAGATGACGGATTAACTATAAAACAGTCTCGCTTGTGTAATCGCATGTAAATAACAGGGCAATTAAAACAGAGACGAATCTTGAATTATGTATCGCGCCATTTGCACACGATGCGCACTTTGCGATGCGGTTGATGCTTTGCATATTACCGGCGCCACGAAGACAAGTAATGTCGTGATCCTTAAACTTTTCAGCTCATTAATTCCGGAAAACGCGTATCCCTGCGACGCGTATCACGTGCACCGACCGCGCAAACAATTTGCGCTGTGCAACGTACTGCATAGATGTTATTCGGGACATGTTATTCAGTCCCACGTAGAGTGAACGTAATAAAAAGTCGAGGGACGACGTGTTGCAGGAAATACGAAGACGAGGCAAAAAAAGAAAATGAGTGTACGAAGGAAACACATAAAAATGTGTATCGCCTCTCTCTCTCGAGATATCTCTCTCTCTCTCTCTCTCTCTCTCTCTCTCTCTCAAGATCTCTCTCTCTCTCTCTCGAGATATCTCTCTCTCTCTCAAGATATCTCTCTCTCTCTCAAGATATCTCTCTCTCTCTCTCAAGATATCTCTCTCTCTCTCTCTCTCAAGATATCTCTCTCTCTCTCTCTCTCTCTTCAACATTCTGGACTTTAATTCGAAGAACTGTATTTCAGTTGCATTTATTTCAATTACGTTCTACATAATTCAATTACACACATCAATTACACGTATCTCGATCGCATCGTACCCGAATTACGCGCGCGATCGAGACAGTTAGCAATTGAATTAACTGAAAAGTTTGAATCATGTAATTGAATTACAAACGTAGTCAAATCACCGCATAATCGAAACACAACGTTATTAAATTGCGCAATCGAATTACGATTGAATCGAAGGGAGTCTCGCATGTCTCGCATATACGACGAGTAGAATCGGCAGCCCATGATCAGACGCGTCACCGAATCTCCAAAACTCGTGAGCGATCTCCCGATTTATTTTCAGTACGTAGAATCATCGGCCGTTTCTACCATGATCTTGGAAACACCTTGTAATCGTCGTCTTTAAGATCCGCATCGATTGAAATATCATACTTTCGCTTGCTACCGGCGTTCGCTCTGCAAACGTGAACAATACGACACCACCGGGTGCTGCCACCCGGCACTTGCCTATCGGAGAACCATCATTTTCCCCTTATCAAAATTATCAACTGCATCGCGGTGTATCCTCTTCTACGTCTATATTGACCAGGCTTCTTTGTTTTTAGTTATTTCTCTAAGCAATTCTTATTTCTCGCGTATGTCTACTCGCATTCCAAGACTCCGATACAGGAAGAATCTTTCGTCTCAACTCGAGAGAAACGAAATACAGTAATATCTCTCTAATTGACGCTCAGATTGTCCATACAACTAGACAATTTGGGAAGAGGAGATATGATTATCCGAGCCTTGCGGATTAAAACGAGCTGCAAGGCTCATATAATCGTATCTCCTTTTCCCAAATTGTCCATTTTCCTGTACAATCTGAGCGTCAGTTAGGGAGACATTACTGTAACATTTTGTTCCGGCGAGCAAGATTTTTTCATTTATCGGCGACAGCTTATTTTCGAGCAGCACACGCTTCGGCGTGTACGCGTCGACGTAAACGCGAAACGTGAACGTGCGAACGCGAAAACAACGCTTCCGTCGGCAGTTATTCTCAATTACAAATTCTTCGAACAACGTATTCAAATTTAGACAACAAATTCGACAACGTATTCGAATTTAGCGAGCTCGGTTCCCGAAAAATCGCACGCAGAGTTACGAATCGTGACCAACTCGCGACGGAAGACCGAAATATGCTTCGACGCGAGCCGCACGCTTTCGTCTCGTAAATCAGCGAAGCGGACATTACCGGACACGTGATCCATAGGCTTCTCCAGTCCGTGCATCGTGTAAGCCCAGCGATTGTTGTCGACCGGAGCTACAAGGAACATTCTCCACTGGGCAGAGACGGGAACGGCCAACGTTTGCAGACGAAACTGCGTCTATCGGGCACGTCCGAGCAGATTCCGACCGACCCTCTAGAACCCTTCGTTTCGAAGCCCTCTTTTATCGAGCTCGGTGAGCAGAAAACTCGCCGAAAAATCTCCTCGGTGTGCGCGGGATATTCTTGCCGAAACAATACTTGTTTGAACGCACGCGCGCGCACAAGAGAGAAGATGTTTACGGAAACGACGTTCGCAGCGGCGCTTCGAAAACTGCTTCGAACGAGAGCGTGTTCGACGAGTCGGCTGAGACGATTTACCGAGACTGAACGCGACGATGCCGTGCCACGGACACGGACGCCGACACGAACACAAAAACGGACACCGACACAAAAAAGGCGGACACGGATACGCTCACGGACACGGACCGTAGAACTCTCTCCCTGGCTTGTCTCTCTTCATCTGTCGCTTTCTCTCTCTCGCGCCGACAATCTGGATAAGGCTGTCGTGGTCGGACAGCCTTGTCGTCTCCCTTGCTCTGTCTCTCTGTCGTTGTTTTCCCACGGCAGCGCCCTCTCCTGCTTTATACTCCGATTTCTCTATCTCCCTCTTTCGAGCTTTCTGTCCTCCTCGAACGCTTTGTGCACGGACTCGCAATACACGCACACCCCGATTCCTTTTCCCACCCTAAATTTAGACCCTCCGAATATATTTGTGCCGGTTGTTTGCACCACGCTGCTCTTCGGAATTGATAGATCCTTTCCTATTTCACGGATGCGCGCTATGCCGTGCACGATGCATAGCAGAAGCAACGTAACTTCGACTCTGTTCTGCTTCGGAATCGTGCGAACGAATTTTTGAGCGAACCTTCGTTCACTTTCTCGTTCCGTGAACTGGAATTGCTTGTATTCGTTCGAATTCCGATTTTTCGGGGGATCGACGATCTCTTGGAAGATCGCGTTTTTGTTTTTTAAATCGTGATTTTGAAACGGAATTCGGAGCAGGGCGTGTTTGTGTACGACGGAGGAGAGTGTGCGGATATTAGTCACGTTTCCGACGAGAGAGAAAGAGAATAAATGAAGCGAAAACACAGAAGAGTCGATGACTAATCATTGTTCCTCAGACACAGGGTCTGGCGGGTCAAACTTTTTTTTCCGACGATTCTTTTCCGTCAGACTTTCATGCTGGAAAATCACCGGATTTCGTAACGCGAGATGTTACGTTGCCCGTGCTGCTACGTGCTGGGATTCCGGAATGCAATTCTCCGTGCACTGATAATATTTATTGCCTTAGAAAACAGAAGGGGGGTGGGGTGGGGGACGCGTAAATTAACACACGCCGACGCGATGCTTCCGTTTTATTCGTCTTACGGAAAGCCGAGAAGATAGAAACGGCTGAAACGAGATTCCCGGTTTCTTTTTTCTCGCAGCCGTTGTTGTCTGTCTGCCTTTCTTTTTCATCGTGCGCTTTTCACGATCGGTTCTCGAGTATTCGTGTACGCCGTTTCGCTTTACGCGGAATGTGCATTCTTACGAAAAACGATCGGTGTTTCATCAGAAGCTTCATCTTCGTTGCTTCCGTAAGCGATTCAGCGATTACTATTTTCTTTAGACGGGAACAAACGGCTGCTCCTCGGAGCATCTCCGTGTCTTCGTCATCGTTTAATCCGCCAACTTTCATTCATTCGAACGCTCGTCTCTTTTCAGCCTTGGGACCTGTTGTTGCATTTCAAATGTTCTATCTCTTTCAATCTCTCCATGCTCGGCCGAAGCACCGACGGTCACAGTAACTGTCCCCCCCACTCCGCTCCGTCCAGAGCCACATGGCACCGGGCGACAGGAGTGGGGTGGACAAGTATTCTAACCATCGGGATATACAAGGTGTTTCCGAAATTGCGGTGGAGACGAGGAGTGGATGATTTTTCACGAGAAAAGAAGTGTAAGAAAACACACGGTCGGCTTTGGATATCGCGTGGATTTATGACAAAAATTAGGTAATCATGACGAATCAGTAAGAATAAAAATATTTGAAGAATTTGTAAGTATGTACATACTGTTTCTATTACAGTTTTAACCCGCTCAGATTATTAAGAGAAGAAATAAATATCGACGTAGCAAGATTATTCGTTATATATACTTTTTACACACTTATTTGTACGCACTTTTAACTTTCAAAATCGATTATAATTGTTAATAGACCAAATTGCAAAACCGCTTTGCGAATTTCCACTCCGATCTTAATCTATTCAATTTAATCGTCGAAGACAGATAATGTTTCAATCTTTTCGCAAGAAAGAAAAATATAAGCAATTTGAAGAAACGTGAATTTGCTTGGAACCGATACGTTGCAACTAAATAAAACAGTTTCGAAAATCTACCGAACGAAACTCGAGCAATGCGACCGGTACACTTCCCAGAAGCGTATAATTTAGCATTGACAAATTTTCTCTCGAGTTTCGGGCCTCGTTTTTTCTCCTTTCTGCTCGACCCGTCCCGCGATTCTGCAAACACCCGGTACATTTCTGTGTCGCTTACACAGTGCACACAAAGTGTGCTTCGCCTCCTGGCATCCTCTTTTTCACCGCGAATATGCTCCTTCTCTTTCAAGGAACCTATTTCGCTTTTTTTTCTCCACCATTCCCGTTTTTCTTTCCTTCTCATTTCCATTCTGTCTCGCGCGATATCTTCGTCTCGCTCGCTTGCTCGCTCGCTCGCTCGCTAGCGCCGGCAATTCTTTGGATTTTGCGCGTTGCTCGCACGCTCACGGGGCCCCACTATCAGGGTAGGGTCACCTTATTCGGCCGAGGAAAAAACGACGCTCTATCACTCGGTGAGCACGTGCTCGTCCGTACCCCTGGCCCCACTCTCCCCCCCTCTCGTCGCTACACGTTAGCTCGCCGTGAGCGTTCCAAGTTAACACCGGCCGATTCTCCGTCGCATGATTTTCCGTTTGCCTGTTACTATTCAGTATTTTTCAATCATTTTACCACGGTGTCATGAATTTCAAATTTTCAGCGTACAATGCTCGACGAAATTATTCGACACAGTTCAATATTTGAATCGAATTAGTCGTTTATTTTTTCGAGATAAATCGAGCTTGTTACGTTCTAGCAGATTGTAAACAAAAAATTGTTACGTGAATAAGAATCCAGAACGATTTTGAATCGCAATATTGTATTAAGATGAAGTAAATAGTTTTATAGTAATTAGAATAGTGATTAGAATAGTTGTAATATATTTCGTTGTGCAATATTTTCATAAATAATTCTGTACTGCCCGAAAGATTTCAGATTTTCGTTCTGCATTGTAAATAAATATCAGTATACTTTTGTATCATAACATTGTATTAAAATAAAGTGATTTCATAATAAGAAATAATTGAGGAATAACTTTGTCTCGCAACAATTGTCTCGCAACAATTTTCTTTATTAAGCTGCAATATGTTTTCCAGTAATTTTTGTCTGTTTAAAAAACATTTTAAATTTTCTTTCTACATTGATATTTCCTTATTCTTTTCTAGAAATTGTTGAAAACGTTCCATGCACTATGTCGCACTTTTAAAAGATACAATAACGAAAAATCGTGAGCGTTTCACAGTATTTATACGAAAATATTGGGTGAACTTTCGCCCTAAAGATTTACGATAAACAATCAAATGGCAATGTTGCATAAACAGTTTTCTTTGTGAAAATAAAACTCGACCCTTGTTGTATATGTGAATATACTAATTCTTTATCTCTTAAGAACAATTTTAATAACGAAAATTATTCTGTTGTTTTAACCATTTCGGAGCCCATTCTAAAAATGGACGCAAGACCAGTGGCGCTCCCTCGTTTGTCCCAGTGTCGTGGGAGCAAAGAATATTGCAGATTCCCTTATCCCTTGTTGTTTATGTGAACATACTAATTCTTTTGCGTTTAAGAGCAATTTTAATAACGAATATTATTCTGTTTTTTTAACCATTTCGGAGCCCATTCTAAAAATGGACGCAAGACCAGTGACGCTCCTTCGTTTGTGTCCCAGTGTCGTGGGAGCAAAGAATATTCTAGATTCCCTTATCCCTTGTTAAACACGTGCGTTGAGACCCCTGGCATTTCTCTCGGTATATATACTATAGTATAACCCTCGGTATACATATTACTTAGTATAACTTGTAGCACCCTCCTACATAGTGTGTTCCAGTACTTTTCCACTGCTTTCACTTTGACATTTCAGTCCCTGTGCGCAGTATATTCTTTCACACAGTACGGCGATACAATACAGGAATCACATGGATGCGCATACTCTGAGTTAAATCGATCTCCCGACAGAGTACAATTCAGTGGAATAAATTATTTCATACTTCGTGCATCGTTATTGATCGTGGTATTTTGCGATAAAGATTTGTACAATTTTATTTGCTCACCGATGTTAGATACCCGTGACTGAAATCTATTTTCGCCTACGAGCGAACGGACATGTTGTTCGATATCGATTGTTCATTAATTGGTTTATAAAACGATGGTGCTTAAACATTATATGAATGATACGTGTATAATTGTATTGCGAATTTCCATGCGAAATATGCTTTTGAAAATATGTTCAGCCAAATTGTTGTCGAATTAAAATTGATTTCATCCCTTATCGGAATAATAATTTGTCGAATAATCTATTGAATATCGAGGATCCCTTCGAATATAGACAATCTCCGCGAATTTCGTTACACAATTGAATCACTTCAAGGACCATAAAATATTGCTGTTCATTCAATTGAATACTATTTGTGCAACGAATTAAGAGTTCAGATAATGTCACTAGCACAAAGTGCACGTAACAAGAGCGGAGAAACAAGCAAAGGGCTGCTGGGTCAATTGAGTTTCATTCAGCGACCAGAATTAACGCAATCGATTAAATAAATGCCTAGCGTAAAGACTGTATCAACCTTCGTGATACTGAAATAATAACAATACCGATGCTGATTGTAGCATAATAAGCAATCTTAATCACATTGAATACATTTTTAACATCTGCAATATTAATTCATACAATGCATAACTCAAAATTGTTCAATAGTGCTATGTTTTAAAGATAAATTACGAACACACAATACAAAAGTTTCAGGAATTCTATGGAATTCTATATATATTGTTTTAATTATATATTATTATATTATGTATGCTGTATATTATTATTATATATATATATAAATTTAATTTATATATTTATATATAAAAGAAATTCTTCATCGAAATGACAGTCACAAGTAGCAAATAAATAAGAAAAATAGGGAATTGTAAAAGATACGATACAAAATTGAAGTTTGTAAATATTCGGAATCCGTTGAAGAAAATAGTAAAAAACGAGATAAGAATTTGCTGTTTGCTACTTAATGTCAGTGTGCAAAATTCATTTGAGAATATCTTAACGGACCTGGAGAGAAACAATCCTTGACTGACCATTACGCAATATCGTTGTAAATATTTACGTTCTCCTTGTGTTTGCAAAGTTATTACGGTAATTTTCATATCACAATTTACGCACCGGCTATTTTGCTAATCTGTTAGAATGTTCTCAAGGTGGCTCGGATGGGAATTGGTTCGTAACAACATTTGAAAATAAAACCACGAAAATTAACGTATCTATAAATACTTCATACGAATCGTTACTATAAGCGAGTTTGTTCACGTCATTGAGATGGTGATTCGTTTAATTGGAAATTAATTAATTTTCGCAATTAATCGAATACGATGTAATGTTTCTAAATGGAGAATTCGTAACAACATATGTTGCTAATTTAGAAAACGAAGGACGATTGTCAATTAATATCTGAGGACATCATTTGCAACATGTTTACTATTATTAGTAATAATTTTGTCAAAATATCTCCGGCTGTAATAATATTTCATCGTAGCCAAGCTATGGTAAAATGAGCTGTTTTATGAAAGTCTCTTTCCTGTGAAAGCAAACCCAACATAGAAAGCTGCTATATTTTCTATTCATTTTCTTCGCTCTAATGTTCTACGATATTATTCCAGAAAATAATAATTACAGTTCGTCACGAATTTTTCGTAAAGTTGCACGGATTGTTTCGTTCGAATAATTTAAATTAAAAAGAAACAATTCACGGATGCTACAATTGACTCGATTGCATGTGCAAAACCTGCTTTGAATTGACCTCCGCAGAATGTTTGACCTTCTCCTCGATTCAAGATCGTGACACCGTTGCGGTATCGATTCAGAAATTGGAGCAGTGATAGCAATGCCTCTGAACATAGCAATAACAAATAGTATGATTTTCAATAATGAAATATTTTACGATACCAATTAATCTAAATACAAATTTCTATATTACTGTCAACTTAATAACGATTACATAATAATTACAAGCAATTAATTAGATTAGATATCGTGTACATTTAATACCGATAATAACAACATCAAATAATTATAACTAATTTGTATTATTCTCGAGATCGATCGATTGTAACTAATTTATATTATCGTTGAGATCAACTGATTCGATCAGCTCAATCAATTATAGCTCATGTGATACGTTGACAATGTATTATTAATAATATATTATTAAACAATAATGTACTATCTTATAATAATGTAATATTGGCTGGCAAAATAAATCTGCGTTTTTCATTTTTCTCTTTTTCTCATCAGTCTGGATTAAAATTTGCTCGATTATTATTTGCCGTGTCATTGCTTCAACATCCACGATACATTTCGGTAAATCGTATATTTTATCGTCACCGACATTATCTTTGACCTGAACTTTTAAGGTGCGTATTTCATTCCGGACACGTTGAAATTCAACCGTCGAAAGACGCGTAACGCTTCGAATGTGTAAACGCAGGTGCGTTCGCACGTGTCTTCTCCTAGATGTCCCTGTTTTTTGAGTTGACAAGCTGATGAATCGCGTATCGTTTCTCGACACCTAAAGACTACGACGTTGCTCAATACAGATCAGTTGTTTTAATTAAAGCGTTACCTCACAGCATTTTATCGAACTTAATTTTATTTGATCTCTATTCTACTCGAATATGCCAGTTGCAACCAAAGTTAACCCCTTGGCGCGCATGCTCTTCGCAATCGCGTGTAAATAAGTTTAAAAAAATTTATTTATCGTGCGTTAAGATGTCAAGTGATCCCCAATTTCCCTTGTAAACAATTGTCGATTGTCAATAATTGCGAAAACGAGGTGCAAGACTTCCAAATTGTCCATTTTTGTGCACAATCTGAGCGTCGATTAGGGAGAATTTACTGTCCTTTCCAATCTGTTTTCAATTGCTAATTTTGATCAGTTTCTTTGTTAATCGTGTAACAGAAACAGGAAGTTGCAACAGAACATTCTTAAACCTCGAATGAACATCCAACGAGGCCCTGTGACTCCAATCAACGCCAACGTCCTGAATCGTTGTCGAGTGTACGTACTTCCTCGAGAACAGGGTCTACGCCAATGAGTGAAAACTGTCTCTTACCTAAGTACGANAAGCAATTAATTAGATTAGATATCGTGTACATTTAATACCGATAATAACAACATCAAATAATTATAACTAATTTGTATTATTCTCGAGATCGATCGATTGTAACTAATTTATATTATCGTTGAGATCAACTGATTCGATCAGCTCAATCAATTATAGCTCATGTGATACGTTGACAATGTATTATTAATAATATATTATTAAACAATAATGTACTATCTTATAATAATGTAATATTGGCTGGCAAAATAAATCTGCGTTTTTCATTTTTCTCTTTTTCTCATCAGTCTGGATTAAAATTTGCTCGATTATTATTTGCCGTGTCATTGCTTCAACATCCACGATACATTTCGGTAAATCGTATATTTTATCGTCACCGACATTATCTTTGACCTGAACTTTTAAGGTGCGTATTTCATTCCGGACACGTTGAAATTCAACCGTCGAAAGACGCGTAACGCTTCGAATGTGTAAACGCAGGTGCGTTCGCACGTGTCTTCTCCTAGATGTCCCTGTTTTTTGAGTTGACAAGCTGATGAATCGCGTATCGTTTCTCGACACCTAAAGACTACGACGTTGCTCAATACAGATCAGTTGTTTTAATTAAAGCGTTACCTCACAGCATTTTATCGAACTTAATTTTATTTGATCTCTATTCTACTCGAATATGCCAGTTGCAACCAAAGTTAACCCCTTGGCGCGCATGCTCTTCGCAATCGCGTGTAAATAAGTTTAAAAAAATTTATTTATCGTGCGTTAAGATGTCAAGTGATCCCCAATTTCCCTTGTAAACAATTGTCGATTGTCAATAATTGCGAAAACGAGGTGCAAGACTTCCAAATTGTCCATTTTTGTGCACAATCTGAGCGTCGATTAGGGAGAATTTACTGTCCTTTCCAATCTGTTTTCAATTGCTAATTTTGATCAGTTTCTTTGTTAATCGTGTAACAGAAACAGGAAGTTGCAACAGAACATTCTTAAACCTCGAATGAACATCCAACGAGGCCCTGTGACTCCAATCAACGCCAACGTCCTGAATCGTTGTCGAGTGTACGTACTTCCTCGAGAACAGGGTCTACGCCAATGAGTGAAAACTGTCTCTTACCTAAGTACGACTTTTTGAAGCGTTCCTTTCGCAGGTGCTCATCGAGAAAGTGAAATATGTTCACGCCCATATTTTTCTTCGACGGATCGCCTTTTCTCTCGTCGGTGAGGCTACGCCAATGGGGGCCAGACCTTCCGGAAAAGCGGCGGACGAAAAGGGATGACGCCAATCGATGACGCTTTTTTCCCCGTCACGTTTCAAGGATCTTCACGAATCGTGTCTCCTCGCCGTGATTGCTAATTGATCGACCGACGATTCGAGGGAATCGATGGGCGAAACAATTGTCGGAACGTCGTTGTTGTTGTTAAAAACGTGTAACGATCACTCGCGAAACGTTCGCTTCCTGCACCATCGATCACACGAATATCAAACTCTTCTGGCGAAACCCTCTTCTTCCTCCCTCCGGGATAGTTCCGGTGGAGCGCATGCGCGCATCCCCGTGTATACCATCAAGGGAACCAATACAATGTCACCAATTTTAATCTTTCTTGGTCGCGCAAGCATTGGTCGATAAGCTTTGCAGTCATTTCTCCCTAATTCGCGCCCAGATTGCGCACGAAAACGGACAATTCGGGGAGAGCGGCTACGATTGTTCGAGCCTTGCGGCTTCTTTGTTTATAGCTGTTGATAATCGGTAAATATAGAAATAATAAGATATATAATGTTATAATAATATAATATAATATAATATATATAATAATATAGCAATAATATATATTATATAATATATATAATAATATAACACTAAAAATTTAATTTTCGAAACAGAATAAAATTGTTAGCTTTGCGAATTTTTTCTGATGAAACCGCGCGACCCACGGGAATCTTTCTTACGCAGAATTGTTCCGTAGACTTTTCTCATTGTAATGGTATATTTTTGTATGCTTTTGTACAGTTTTAAGGTGCTGAAATAATATCAGAAGAGGCGCGATGATTTCGATGGGGCAATGTCGGGCATTTTGTAATTCATTTTGAAAACTGAGGCTCCCGTACGAAAAATAGTTACGTAGACATCACCCTCTTTCGGAAATTGTTTCGAACAGTTGATACGTGGATTTCGTTTTCAGCCAACGAAATGAAATACATATGTACTTCCATAAGAAACGCGACAACGTCGGCGAGCCTCAACGACGATGATTAGACTTCGAATTTATCGCACTGTTATTACAGGTTGTTCGAGTATTCACTGTTACGATTTCGAGTCGCCTCTAGACTCCTAACGAACACATTTTTTTTCTTAAATGAAATTTTTATTTTATTTGTACGCGGTGTAGTATTCGCGCGGTGTAGTTAAATTTTGTAGTTGAACGTTTAATTTTTCGAACGGAGTGAGAAAATTGAGAAAATTGCTACCGTGATCACGTACGTCGGGAGAGAATTGTTTAAACAAGCTTGAACGTCCAATAAAATAATTTTTACGGTTAAAGGAGAACAAACATTTAAAGCGAAAATTTGGCTTTTATAAAATAATCGATGTGCATAATTGACAAGATTCACTCGAACATTTTACCGAAACGACGAACTCCTGATATCTATGCGGATGTGATTTTGACAAATTTATTTAAACCGACTAAAATATTTATATATGTATATATAAATATATAACACAGTTTCAAGGATCGTACGCGACGGATCGAGGGTTACATAAATAGGTTCGTAATGACCAGCTTAAAATAGATCCTAATTATTGAGAATGATACAACAATAAATCAGCGACTAAACGTTTTAAATTTATTCCTCAATCTGTGAATCTTAAACGCTAACGATTTTGGGAGTTTTTATCGCGTAACTTCGAACATTAAATATGTTGCAAAATGGACTGCAAAATTTGTTTATTTTTGTGAAACATAAGTGTGTCAAACGCAGTAAAGTATGCGATAAAATTCGATATAATAAGAGATAATATAGCTAATAATAATATAGGTAATAATAATATATATAAATAATATATAGATAATATAATATATATATAATGAATTTGAATAAAAATACACAGTCAAGGGGTGACAAAAATAAACACTGTTATTGTATGAGTGCCTAATCTTTCTATACAGTTACGGAAGGCAATAAAAGTCGGATAGTATAACACGGAATGGCAACGTTAGGTCTGTCTAGTAGTGTGGAAACGGACGAGGCGAGTCGAAGGAAGATACTACGCGGCTTATTCATCACGCACGAATCACGTGCTCGCTCGACCGGCCGGTATTTTACCGTTTCTTACGCGTTTCATCGAAAAAGATTGCACTTTTGTCTCGTTTAAAACTAGGTTTACGGATCGCTGAAACCAACTACATATATTGTTCTGCCTCGTAAAAATAAGTAGAGCGTATTTGTTCGGTTTTTTAACACAATTCTTATTATATTTATAATATATTATTATCATATTATATTATACGCAAAAAGATAATGCACTGAATCATTTTAGTAGAATTATACTATAATTTTTTAATATCGTATAGCACTAAAACCACTGCCATTATGTATTTTGCAACTATTAAAATTATAAGTTTTTATAGAAAGAAAGCAGAACATATATGCGCACAATTTTCAGTATTTCATTGTAAAAATACTATTAGAGAAATCTAAGTGTCGTGTTTAATGAATTGGATTATGTCGTCTGCAGTGATTTTATGAAGGTTTTTAAATGGAAAAAGTATAAAAGAAAATAATGATTTAAAATGATTGAAAATTTGTTGCATATTTACAAGGGAAAACGAAGGATCTGAAATCGTTGAGTAACAAGGGTTGAAACCTCAGAAAGATGACTATAAATCTTCGCTATTACTATCATTAGATCGAACAAAATTTCTCCATCAATTTCTATAATAATTCTTGATTTTTCAAACTTAATAAAAATATTACACTTCAAGTTGCAAAAATTGGAAAATCGAATTAAAAATAAAAATGATTTGTCTCGATTGCAAACGTGTTGCATAATTACGCCATCTGTTGCAGACAGCATGATACCATTGAGAGCGTTACTCGTTCGGTAACAATGGATGTTGCATTTTTGACGGTAATATTTTGTTTGAACTATATTTCACGAATTTAAACAATTAAATTAAAAATTATAATGTGCGAAAAGTATTTAAATTCTAAAATCCTTTTCTACCGCATAAACTGTAAACTATTCATTTAACGTGTATGAGAAAAATTAATTGCAATTTTTGCCAGTCGAATTCGAAACAAATAAATATCGATAAATAATAAATCGAGGCGTGTCCATAGTAATCAACGAGTGTTGATGCAACGCAAAGCAAACGTTTTCTGTTTTCTTTTTTAACATATTGCCGAAAGATTTAGTTAATTCATCAAACTGATAAAAATAAAATGAACTAACAAATAAAACTAGCAAAGTTCATTTTACTATCTACTGGTTTATTGTTTACCTTTTGACTCGTCTAGATAATAATAATTAAAGATATGATACCTAAACTGTAAATTAGAATACGATAAATATCGTTAATTTTTACAAGCTCCTAACAAGAACAAGATAATTATAAATTCAATTATAATTTTCCCGAAAACGTTGAAGATGAAAGCAACGAAAGAGAACAAGCAGAAACGTCGCGCGACTCGCGTATATTTGCAAATCTTTCAATTTTCCTGATAATTAGCGACGACATTGCGATCGATAAAACTGCTGTTTCGTTAATTTACAACAAACCGTGTTTCACGCACGCGGAATCGCGCAGCCGATAAACGTTCCATTCATAAAAATGTCACGCTACGATATCCACGTTGGCAACGTTGACGGCTCTGCTTCGGGGGTGCTTTTTAAACATAACTATTCAAACTGGGTCACCTTAACGCTAGCACGGAACCTATAGCTGTACTCTCATTGTCATCGTCTCATCACGTTCTGATCATTTGCATCGTTAACCCCTTCGACGAGTCCGACTCGTCGCGAAAATTTCTAACAACAACTTCACGAGCACAAACATTATTCTACCCTTTAAAATAGGAACAATTTTCCTTCCTTATTGTATATAAAAATATCCAATCGCAGTAACTGCGAAGAAAATGGTGCGTCAAGGGCAAGTTAACCCTTTGCACTCGATGCCAAATAAACGCAAAATTTAAAATTAGAACTTTCCGTCTCGTGCAACAGTCACGCTTTCAACGGTTCCTCAAATAGAAACAAATTTGTTTAATAACACTATCTCGAAACGCGACACAACGATGTTTAACGTCGCCTCGGAGTCGCGACACGAATGCAAAAGGGTTAATACGTACTCAAAATCGAAGGAACGAAACTTCTACGAGATCTTCGGAAGCTTCCACGCCAAAGCCCGAAGAATGTAAATCGCTTTCCAAGTGGATCACGTTATGCAATACACGATTTCCACACCGCGATCGACCGAAACAGCCACCGAGTTCCTCTCGATTCGATCCTCTCCTTATCGAACAATTGATTCGAATTAAATCGAGGCTGCTAAACGAGCGCTCTTTCTCTTCCAGCACGAGAACAGGTGCGCGGCGACGAACTGACACGTAAACATACGTGACCTGTTCGCGAATCGTTCGCGAGGGGATAGTTACGGCATTCCCGAACAAAGAGAAGAGTTTCGCTCGAGGCGAAACAATGAAGCAGCAGCAGCAGCGTCGCCGAAAACGACCGACGAGAAGACGAATCGCGCGCAAAAAAAGCTCCGGAACTCGGGAGTTTCGTCGTCGCAAGCCACTTTTAGCAGGTTTTGTACGATCCTCGAGATTGCACAGGGACAGAATCGATAATAGTACCCGGGGAAAAACGCGATCATTCTGGGAATAAGATAGAGGCGCACAAGATAGAGGCTACTCACGATTACGTTTTCGCTGCGTTGAAGAAGATAGTTCGCGGCTTGCATGCGTTGAACTGGTCACCGATTTAAGACACCTTGGCCAGTTTATATTCGACCACAGCTCGTATTCGTGCCACTTCGTCTGCGCCTCTGGCTGATCCCCGCTTTTCAGCTGCAACTATATACGAAGCCCGGAGGTCTATCGGTTAGCAAGCGATTCTAGATAGCGAGACCCTGCCTGACACTCTTACCGATGACTCGATCATGCGCTCGTCTTTCTGTGCGATCGACGGAGGTCGTTCCGGGTCGATCCTCGCCGCGGATAACGAGCTGATCTCGCCGAGGAATACGTCGTTCCCCCATTTCCCCGGCCGTCGCTCGCTTCTCATCGCCTTTGTGCTCCGTTTCGCCGGGGAGCATCACCCCTTTCGCTCGCTGCCCGCGATTTCGCAAGGTGACCGAGTAACGATATCAATTTCTGACGCGAATCCCCGCCGTTTTCTCTCTCGTCCAGACGTTGCTCTCCCATCACACTGAAACTAGAGATTCCTGGGGTCATTCGAAGCAACTTTTTCCTTTACAAGAATTTCCTACGAGGCATCGTTCGCGAATTATCGACGAGAAACCAACTGGCCAATGAGAGCCGGGCTCGGCTGGCGCGAGGCGGTCCAGCCGACGAGCGCGCGAAGTCCAGTTCCCGCTCATTGGCTCGGCCGCCTTGCGCCGCCTCGCGTCAGACGAGTGCTCGCCTCTCATTGGTCAGTGTTTTTCGTTGATAACTCGTTAACGAAGCAGCGGATCGCATTTTCGCTAAGGACAAAGTTACTTCAAATCACCTCAGGAATTAGGGCATCTCCTGGAACATAACCATAATTTTGGGACACCCTGTATGAAAACGTCCGCAATCGCGCGGCGGCATATTTGCGTTTATTTGAGAACTCAACGAGCCATTAATGTTTTTTACGACATATTTAGCGCGGTTGACGCAGTGCATAATACGAGCGTTATCTGCGTTTTTCTCGCGTTACGCAAAATTTATTTCGCACACTGTTGAATTCCACGCCGTTTAAACATTAATTGTATTATTAAGATAGTGTCGCTTGTTTTCTTTTTGCTGTATGTTATTTCGCGACGTGTAAATTGGACAATCGTTTTAACGACAAATAAAAATTTATTGGAACTCGCGTTGGAACTTTTACTCGTCTCGTATACTTTCCATACGCATTTCCAAATTTTATCAAATTGTTATCAAACTTCGCTCAGGCATCGATTGCGGCGGTATTGTTTATTATACGCTGTGTGTTATTTTTCTGTTACGTAAGGTGGAAAATCATGTTAATAATAAATGAGAAATCCCTATTCGTCTTTCGACACGTATTCCTTTATTTGTTATTAAATTTTAAATGCTCCGATACTACTCGCGCATTTCATTTCGCTTCGTTTTCCGAAAAATAAGATTTTCTCTTTTTCGGTGCTGCCTTTGTAAATGAAACTGTTATCTAATCTGCGATTCGTGATAGAAGCCGAATGTCCCCATCTTTTCGGATTATTATCGAAAACCGTAAATAGATGTTTAAAGGTTCTATTGGCTTTAGATAGCTGTTTACTACGATGTGTTTTGACGGAATGTATTCTTAGCTTTTTTCAGAAGATGCGATATCAGATAATACCGAAACAAGAATAGAATCCGTTGCATTTCCGTTTTCCACGTGATCGAATACATCATTTGTGCTGTCATCTCTATTTCAGATATATATACATGTAGTTTTAGTATTATTATACTATAGTTTTTATTTTACAGTTAACTCTCTCTCTTCTAGATCATCGCAACGCGAAGTGTGAGCAATTAAAATAAATTCTATCTCGTTATTCTCATTAAAAAAGGCGACACTTGTTGGGCGCTTTTGGACCTCGGTAGGTTCAGCGTTTAAGAACCATCATTGCTTATCAAAGTGGTGAACAATCTGTGTTTAATGTTTATTTTCCTCTGTGCGGATCAGCAGAGACGGAGATCCGCCGTCAGCAATTTTGTAGAATAAGATTACGATTTCTCCAGAAGCAACGTGCCCCGATCGACGTCCAATAAAAACAATTACACTCTTCTACGTTCAATTTCATAGACCGATACAACGAAGAACTGTTTTCTATACGTAATACCTATCGCAATATGTTCATGAGCCCCGCGATAAAGATAATTTTTTTTTTTATTATATGAATCACTATCCCCAGAGAATGTAGAGGAATTTAATCTGATTCGTATTGGCTGATTGATAGTTCCTGCCAACTTCGCATCATTGCCAATGTTTCATCGTATATTTATTGATCGTTAATACATATTATAATTACATGTGCGAATCGTATACGCTGAATCGTATTTATAGTATGTCGTGTGTATGTGTTTGCGTGTGTCTGTATCATCTGCTTGGAATTTGTCATGTGATAGTGTAACACGACGAACAGATTAAGCAGAAATACTGTTGCCACTTGATTACGGGGAGGGGGAGGAGGCGTGTCCTAATCGAGAGGGAATAATAATAATATTATAGAATCTTTTTGCAGGGACGAAAGTTATATTATTATGTTATTATATTGTTACATTATTATATTATTATATTGTTATATTGTTATATTATTATACTATTATATTGTTATATTATTATACTATTATATTGTTATATTGTTATATTATTATACTATTATATTATTGTATTATTATATTATTATATCCCTATATAATTATACATTTCATTATTATTCTTTCTATTATTTATATCAAAACGATCATTAAAAAGTCCAGATATTAAATAAGTGCAATTAGCATTTAAAAGTATAAACAGCGAAGTCCGATATTTCCAAAATTGCTGTCGCACCACTGAAAACTCATATCGACAAACAAAATAGTTCCTCCTTCGTTTATCTCGCTTCTCGGCATAGTTATTGCCGATATGAACGCAAACGACCGATTCTGCTTGCAGCGATTGAGCCATCGTTGCATTTAGTCGATGCACACGCGCAATACGGTTCAATTGCTTGCTAAATCTTCGGGATCGTTTAGCATCGGCGACAAAGACGCGCGGTGCCGTCATGTAAAACGTAAAGCGGACGAGAGCGACGTTGTGCACAACGTGACGCCATTGTGCAATTGACGTTACTCACATGTGCCACGTATATACATAGATTGGAAATCAATCGAATAATAACAACAACAACGATTTATTTCCGGTACAGTTTATGCATCGGAGAGATGCTGCGGCGTGTACGTGTTTAATCTCCTTGCGTACCATGCGTCGCAAGGTACAGTAATTTCTCCCCAATTCGCGCTCGGATTGCGCACCAAAAATGGACAATTTGGGGAGAGGAGATACGATTGTTCGTAGCCTCGCGACTCGACTTTATTAGTCGTCGGCAATCGGTAACTATAAAATAATTATATCGCAATGATATCGTGTAGAAATAATGGACACGATCGAACAAAATTTTTTATTGTATTCCTGTAATCTGTCTGTAAGTGATCACCGTGTAATGCAGATACATTTAAGAAATACATTTGTTATCTGCGAAAAATATAAGAATGTCCAATCGAACCTTTGCTTTATTTCTGATAAAACTCTCCGTATGAAGAAACTGTTCCCGTTTCAGCTGTTATAAATGTAATTTCGAGGACGAATTTTTGTGAGAATGTCAACGAAAGATCGTATTAAACCCATTGTACAACAATCCTTATACATATAATATCATTGATCTTCTAAAACTCGGCATTATATAAACATAAATACAATTTAATATAATTTAATAAAATTTAATATAATATAATTTAATATAATTTAATATAACTTACTATAATTTAACATAACTTAATTTAGTTTAATATAATAATGAAATTACATTATCATTGCAACACGATCGAATGCCAAAGAGAACGAAGAAATAGTTTAATTTCGTTTCTTACACAAGTCAGTTCATAAAAATGTGTACACATTTGCATAAAGATCCATTGACTACGAAGAACGACACCACGCTAATTGTTATTCTTGTTTCATTCACTGGTCAGGTGGCTGATAAATTAACCAGAGAACGTTTCCGGCCTCCGTGAAAGTATAAATTATGCACTCGCACGTTACTACGGTCATTTTTATTTTTTCAACTCCCGTTGCAAGCTGTTGCTGCAGTATCGCGACGAGGTCGACAAAGGGAGCATACTTTCTGTCGCGACTTTCCGCGATGTGTTTACTTCGCCGATATCTCGTTGGTTCTGCGGAAATCGCGTCATTTGTTTTCAGAAAGCGAACGATATCGATAATTTTCTGGGGTGTTGTGGACGCGCGAACCGAACATATCGCGCGCGCGCGGCTGCTCTTCCATTTTTATTCTTGCACCACGAAAAGAAAGATCGGTGTTCTATCTTACATATTATGCGCTTGTTGTAAACGCGCTGTCCGATGAAACGAAAAGAGATGAAAAATACGTAATTAACTGTACAGGCGTGCTCTTGATGATATTATTATTATACACCCTCTGGCAAGGGGTGATCCTACGTGAACAAAATAAGAACAGAACAAATTCTGTTACACCAAAGTAGCAGTATTTACAAGTATTTTATTTTGTTACACCAAAGTGTAACAGGCTCACCGGTATACAAAAGGTTAGTAAAAATAGTGTTAACAACATAATAACAATTATCGTCTGAGAAATATCGTTACAAAAACAAGAATCGACTTCATTGTCAAAGTATCGAATAAATTGTTAAATAAACTGAATAAAACTGTTCATTGTACGTAAACGATTGTTTCCAGAATGAGCCAAAAGGAATGATGACTGCGACGACGACGTCTCTGCGTTTATGTGTTATTTATCGTCATATAAAAATTATTTCTTGCAATACACAGACAAATTTTGAATAATTCAATGCAGCCGTTTGTATAACCGCTTCCAGGTATAGAATGTAAAGAACGTTGAATATTGATGATTTTGTAGATAGTATCGATGATAGGAAAATTTCAATTACGAATGATTGTTTATAATTTATGTGGATGCGCAGCATTCTTTGAATACTAAAGTCTCGTTGGCTGTACAGAAATTGACGATATCGGAAGAATGAAGAATGGATTGCTGCTTTATAAAATATAATGGTCCCCCATGGTATTCTCTAAGTTCGATCGCAAGTTAAACTTGAATGATTTGACCTACTTGGCGAGATGCCTGCCAAACGAATCCCTGTGATGTCAAATAGTGCTATGCTACTGTCCCCCTGATTCTATTCGTAGAAATTAGTTGTTTTTCCTGAAATCACTATGCTGGACAGTGGGACAAATTCCAGTCAGTGTTATCACTTCTGTATACATATATATGTAATTATAATATATATAATAATATATATAATAATAATAATAATAATAATATATAATATATAATATATAAATATATATATATTTTTTATTATTATTTGTATTTATTTGTATTTATTGTCCAAACATTTCCATCTTTTCAAACAAAGGAACCGAGGAAAAACAAACACCGGCGCTATTTACAGAATGTGAGTCACATAATTGAAACAGGTTGAACATGTATTTTTTTTTGTTGTACATAGAAAAAAATAACAGGACTCGGCACTCTACCACGACTGTCCTTCTGTTCGTGATATCGTGATTTATCTTTCCCGCTGCAGCAACGAGATAAAATG